TGTCTCGCTCAGTCTTTATTCCTATCCTTAAACCCGCTACATTTTTATTCGTGTACATAAGTATAGAAATTCTTATAGATTATTATTATTATTATTATTATTATTATTATTATTTTCCATTGTCTTATCTCAACTGGCAAGTTACCAGCAGAAAAAAAATCTTACTTTCCAGTGCTGAAGTTGGCACCACGTATAGCAACATAGCTGTTTTGATTGCCATCAAGAACMACAGCACTRTCAAGACCATTAGGACTGTCAGTGTACGATGACGTTTGAACGTCTGCACTAGGATGRTTGTTACTAACATCCATGCCTCCGCTGGTAGAGCTCAATGGATATCGAGCAAATGGAAGAGGAACAGCTTTGAAACAAATAAATTTTTGACTATTAGCAACAAAGTATTTTTAAAGTAGAGACAGAAAACGGAAGATGGGCAACTAATAAACAGAAAGCATATTTCATTTCCATTTTCCGCGTCATTCACCGATTCCTTCATGACCTCCATTCCTGTAAGTAACACAGCAGTAACACAGAGGAATGAAAAGAAGGGAGAGAGGAAGGAGAGAAGGGAGAGGAAGGGCGAGTAGAATAAAAAGAAAAGACTATCATTAAATGTACCTGTTTGATTGTTCACTGATAATCCTACAGTGATAGCGACTTTTTCCATAGTGTGTGTGTACATGTTGGTAGGTGGAATCAACCTTAACCACAACAGAACAATTAGAAAAAAAAACATAAAGGCTGGTTTACACTTGCGATTATTGCAGCGCGACAATCACCACTTTGCTATGGCGCAACAAAAATTGTACGTGTAAACAGCCCTGCGATTGTTGCAGTRATGGAAAATCACCGCAAAGTGGCAGCCAATTTTCAAGCATCTTCGAAACTCAGGCGATGGTCGTGCAACGATCGCTGCAAGAATCACTCTGCAAAAATCTTAAGTGCAAACGTTAAATTTTGATTGGACATCGTCCCTGGAAAGGCCTTTATCTTTTCGTTTGTGTTCTGACTTACTTATTTACGGTATCATTAAGATCTTTCAACTTTGCCTCCGCAATGAGTCCTGCAGCTCCTCTTGTCAAGTAGTCTAGGACTCTTGTGATGTTTTGGTCAAGACCAGTGGCYGTCTTCAACAACCGTCCTACACACTCTCCACAATATTCACAGCCGGTTTGAGTCAGAATGTAGTTAGGCGGACATATTGTACAGTTACCACCTGGTTTRCAGCACTGCCCTGTGTTCACATCGCAGAATCCCCACATGTTATCCTTGTCTTTAGGGCAATTGCATTCTGAAAGGGAAAATTAATGTAAAGAGATGAGTGTAAGGACYGCATGGCACTATGAGATACATTATATACAAAGAAAGGAAAGTTATAGTGCTGGGAAGGAGGTTATTCCAGAAGAAAGAGCCTTGGAAATAAATTCTGACCCTCCGATTTGTACTATCGATGCTCTACCAGCTGAGCTACAAGGTCAGACTGGGAGCAGATCRGGGTGAAGTAGATCTAAGGTCGTGGGTCGTGGGTTCGAATCCCAGCGAGGTCGGAAATTGATTTTTCCGAATTTATTTCCAAGGGTCTTTCTCCCGGACAAAACTCCCTCTCACTATAACTTTCCTTTATTTATATATCATAAAATTATTGTAGTTTAATACAAAAAATGAAGATTGAAGTTTTTAAAACCAGTCTTTGCATGTGATATCATTAAAATCCCTTTTAATAATAGAAATAAAATGATAAGAAAAAATTTCAAAAAGGAAAAAAAACAGCATATGAAACGAGATTAGATCACTAGTTAATAMAGGAAAAGAACCAACTATCCTTTACCTTGRCAGCCCTCAGGTTTATAGTCCCAGAAACCAGCCTGGCATCGATCACATTTTCTTCCTATGGCACCAGGTTTACAAAGACACTGTCCAGTTCTAGTGTCACATGACTGACCCAACGAAGCATTCGCACAGTTACAGTCCTCACATCCCAGACAACTATTGAAGTTCCACGTGTTGGCCTAATGACAATAATCAATGACACAATCAATCAATATCATAATCAATCATGAACTGAACAACGATTCAAAACTATACAACAGGTATACAGGCATTTGCAAAAAGTTTGACCGCAAACATATGTCATTAYATTGGGTGCATCATKKGTAATTTMAAGTGATTTTTGCTCTTTTCTGGCTAAAACACGTCACAAATCATTTGGATAGTTTGAATTTGTTTACAATCTGCAGTTTTATGACAAATAAGAGGATTAAATATGACTTAGTGCTTACGACAAACACATGAAGATACTACGTGGCCCTGCAAGCTAAAGGGGCGCCCCCGTAGAAGAAGAGCACGTGAAGCTGCAAGCCTCAAGTTTAACTTTCCCTAAATTGCATTTAGCCTCATTATATTTCTATAAGTTAACAGCAAGAATTTCTTCAATTGAAAGCTGAATATTATGCTTGCAACATTATACATTTTTACAAATTTATCTTTAGTTAAAAATATTGCTTTCTACCTTGCATTTGTTACAAGTATCACCAATCACGTTCTTCTTGCACTGRCATGCMCCAGTGGTGTAGTTACACAACGTTGTCACGGTACCACAAGCATCACACTTGCACTTTTGGCAGTTCTTAGCAACCACAGCATCGCCATAGTAACCATCCCGACAACGTTCGCAATTATCTCCCACAGCTTTGTTGATACACTTTGAGCACTTTCCTGTGTAAGGGTCACAACTACCAGGGACTTGTGGGTCAATGTTACCATTGCACTGRCATGGTTTACAGTAATTACCAAGCTCRGTCGGGTCACCATAGTAACCGTCAGCACACTGTGAACAACGAGGGCCAGTGTATCCTTTATTACACACACAAATCAAACCTCTTTGGTCGTCAAGCTTACACTCAGATGCAAAACTGTTTGAGGAAATTCCTAGTGGGCATTTRCATAATTTACAGTCATTTGGGGAACCAATGGAGGGATCACCATAGAAACCTTTGACACATGCTTGACAACGATCACCTAGTWAAGAGAGACACGGCATTTTTAGTATAATACACTGAAAACAACTTGCATAACCTAGATTATCATTCAGTSGGTTCCATTTGGTCTTCTATAGAGCTTCGGGTTCAAGATTATGGTGTCAAAAAATGCTAGCTAGTTTTAAATAAGTGTATACAATAGTGGTTAAAATCCCTTCATAAGTGTTGGCACACTACTAACCTGTGGTGTTGTGCAAACAGTTATAACATTCCCCAGTTTCAGGATTGCATTCACTAGAGTGTTTATTGCATTGACACTTAACRCAAGTCTTGTTGTCTTCACCCCGAGTGTAGCCGTTTCCACAGAGCTGTAAAAAAAGATGTAAATAATGTTACATGTACACCTTAATGGACATTGTAATAAAAATACATTAACATTGTATAAGGTACATGATACATTCTGTACACTTAGGAAATCGAATACAAAGGAARTAATACCTCATTACAACTGTTCCAGTTGAGTGATAGCAACTAATAGTCACTAAACAAGAACTATTAGATAGTAACTATTTAGATTTTATTTCATGGACATAGTGTAAGCACTCTAGCTGTGGTTTTGCCTATTTATTTTGTTCAAACTTACATCACATGAGCTACCAGAAGCAGAAGATGGGCAGATGCACTCTTCAACAGAAGTAGCATCAAAAGGTTGACCAGGAATGCTTCTTGCAAAGTCCATGAGGACATTAATAAGGCTGGTATCTGCTACTGATGTACTATAGGAGGCTCGTATCTTGAGTGTTTCTATGTCTACTAGAACTGACATGAGTTCATCTCGTGTAACGCTGCTATGGTTACCAACAGACCAGTATTTCTAGAGCAAAGAAAGAAAATTAATAAATGCTTGATAAAAAAATAGCAGTTAACACAGTTAGCATCAATGTACTAAAAAACGGACCTCCATCAATAATGCAGTCAACTCTTGTTTTAACAAACACCTTAGGGGCCTAGTGCAACAGATAYAGCAATTGTCTGATGTTGTAAAAGATAGCTTTTTTGGAAAAGTCTCTTTGGGAAAGAGATTTGTTAAGTGTCTGCTTATCTGAAGTTATAATATCCAACTTTAGATATTTTTAGTGACCATGTGCAAAATAATTGTGGACGATGCTCCGGGKAAATGAAGGAACACATTAAGATTATCCAACGTTTCCCCAGAGCCTCGTCATCCCCAATTCTTTAGGACATGGTTACTAAACCATAATATCTTAAGTTAAGTATTTGGTGTCCACAGTCAACTGCTGAATCAGAAATAGCAATGGCAGTCATATAATATTGGAATTATTAACATGATTGTAATAACTTCGAACAAGTCACCATGGCTTTAATTCTTCGTTTTCAGGTTACCTCACAGCAGCCATGTTGGAGGAACTCTAACAAAGGATTTCTCATTARTATCTATTGTTCATTCCTCCAACATGGCTACCGGTCTTTTATCTTTTGAATCTCATGGGAATGGTTGAAAACGATCAATAAAAGCCGGAACACATCTTGTTTAAAACTTTAACAAAAAGTTTGTACCTCATGGAAACGTATCCTCATATTGTGMACATCATTAGGAGTGAGTTTTTGTTGYTCTCTGTATGTCAGTGTAACACCATTCTTTCCTTGCATGACCACTTCTGGCTTTTCAGTCAGCACAGGGTTTTTGACTTCTACWGGTACAAAATACCTGACACTGTAGATTAATTCACCTCCATAGGAATAAACCTTAAACATTAAAGATATAAAACAATCACTTGTTGAAAATTGACCAGTATGAAAAACAAGCAGAAGTCTGGGAATGAGTACATTAAACAGTCCATGTTTTTACAACATCTGTTTTCACCATAAAAGTAGTCAACTAGTAAATTGGCAAAGTTTTAGCTTCAAATGTTGAATATCACAGCAGAGTTACGAGCATTTGAATTTTACTTTAAATGTGAAAATGAGGTTGGTAAGACCACAATACTCATTTTCACTCAAACCTTTGCAATTTCAAACACCTCTTATTTCTGGTCCTTAAATGTTAGATCATTGAAACTTTCAGATCTTATTCATTGTAATATGTTCTTTCAACAGGTAGTAATGATATATTGAAAATCTTATAAACTAAAGCAAAATGATAGCCACAACCTTTTTCATATGGTAAGACCTAGGGTAAAAGAGATTTAATGATTTAAATACTATGCAAGAAGGAAAACAGACACGAGCTGTTTAAGTAATGAAACATGAGCGAGATGAAGATAGAGCGGATTTCGTATGAGTGGGAAACGGACGGTACTGTACTGTGTCCGTAATCATACTGAAACCAAATTCTAGTGCCCCATTGGTTCACCAAAATTGTGAAGGCCAGGTCCGGTAACTGTGCGGTAACCATGCGGTAACGGTGTCCCACTCATACGAAATCCGCTCTAAAATTATACACCATAAATTTAACATATCCTCTCAGTATATCACTTTGTCACCACTAATCATACCAACTCAATTTATCATTTAGCATGACTGACCTTCCTGCCTGTATATTCGTCAGGTGCTATCCAATAAACAGGTTTGTCTGGGTCTGTTCTTTTCCCGGCAACTGATGCWGTTATCTCATTGAATCCACTGTCAATTACTGGAGCATCTGTGTTCTCAATCKTCCAGCCTAACATTTGTCCAAAACGAGTCCTAGAAAATGTTTTGGAACAGAATTAATAAATGAAGATACGCCAAGGAAAAAGAGACAAACGTCAGCAAAAATTCAGAAGGAGATTAAGGGACAAAGAAAGGTAGACGCAAAGCAACAAGGAAAGAAAGAAGGGCTGTGATATGGGAAGCGAGAAGGAGGAAAGGAAGGATGAAAGAAGAAAAAAACAGGAAAAAGAAGAGATAAAAATGTAAAAAATGAAAGGGAAAAGGAAAGACTAAAGATCCAGAGCAAGATAGCTGAAGGATACTGGGAGGCTTAAGAATAGCATAATTTACATGATAGTTACAATATTATTATATAAAAGTTAGAAATTCTTCTATAAGTTTTGACATGGGAGTTCGTTTAGCTCTTTGTGGAAACTGCAGCTATGGGTTAAGATTCCCATTTACAAGTGTCTCGCTCACCTTTGTAATTTAGAACTTGAGCACAAGCCAGAGACTCCCGAGCACCAACATTTAGTRCATCCATTGGGGTTACTAGGATCAAGGTTAAAGTAACCAGGACGGCACTTATCACATCGTGGTCCAATAACATTTGGCTRAACATAAATTGAAATAAAATTATTTCCATTAGTACAGTAATTACCATTCCTTTAGTCAGTATGTTCTTTTTTAATTCTTGTGATTTAGTTATCTATTCCTGCATTCATCCAATCGTTAATCGTTTAATCTGTTTGTTGCCTCATTATTACCAATCATTTATATCGGATATATTCACACCCMAAAATAGCAATAATTSTTTACCTTACAAATGCATTGCCCCTTAGCATCACAGACATTAGAGAGAACACCCCTTTTGTCGCAGTCACACTGGTTACAAAATGGATACCCAAAGCGTCCCACGGCACATTTATCACATCTTGGSCCAGTTCTTGATGGTTTGCAAGGACATTTTCCAGTAATGACATCACATGATATGCCSCCTCCTCTAACACCAGAGATGTCACACTGACAATCTTGACAGCCACGAATCGGGTGATAGCCATAAGTTCCTTTCAARCATTCTTCACAGTTTTTGCCAACGGTGTTTGGTGGACARTCACATGCCCCTGTCACCTCATTACARAACACACACTGACATTCTGAAATAGAATTTGTTGTCTTTATCATTGTGCATCTTATTGAATTAAGTCCCAAAATAAAATAAACATAATCTGGACACAATTTTATAGGCAACTTGCAATATGTTTTAGCTCAGGAGTCTAAATCAATATGACAGACATTTGCAAAAAGAAATTGCAATTGCTCTAGCTCTAACTCAGCTTAAAAAATTGTGAGAAAAGTAGCTATTGCTGCAACGCATTGCACAAAGAAGACCTGAGTTCTATGTTGTGCAGTGCTAGGTGCAGTACTAGGTGCACTTCCTTAGCAACCTTAATGTCTCAGATCACAATGGCATTGTGAGTCAAGTTGTTTAGAGAATACATGTACTAGATCTTTTGCATGACCTCTTTTGCACTTTTGTACAAAAGKCCTATTGTACAGCGTAATAGTACCCTTATGCTTATTGTTATGCTTTTAAAAAGTTTTATGATAAACACCTGTCTATGAACTCATTAATCTACTGTATCTTTATCTTTTGTTAGATGTTCTCAATTTTGTGCTCATGCTTATATTATAGTGTACTATATACACGTACATCAAGTCCGGTACACCCTAAAACCATTTMTTTCAGTAGTACTTACTTCTGCAGTTAGGGAAGCCATAATAACCAGTTTTGCATCTATTACACTCACGGCCGATGACATTAGGTTTGCATGGGCACTGCCCACCAACCTGTCTACACTCAGTGCTTTGTGATCCCTTGGGGTTACAGTTGCATGGCAACGTACTATGAACAAGAATAAATATGTAAGATGTACCCATAATGTTTACCAGACTTTCATTGTTTATTAAGTACCAAACATCATCACTACCAGTGCAATATACACTGTAACCGTACAATAAAACAACCTTTTGATTTTCAAATTGCCTCACCCATTATTAAAAGCGGTTGTAAGTGAAAAGACAGGTTTAGTACAAACACCAGGCCATGGCGATGATGGTTTAATAAAGTAGCCATCTTGAGGACAGTCCTTAATGAATTCTTTTGCAAAGGATAGAGGAAGTGTGTCCACCACGTSCTGACTGTATTGACTTTCTGGTATTAGCAATGCATAGTCCTATTGATGAAGAAAAACAATTAGGTTTTCAAAAAACCACAATAATCATGCTATATTATAGATATCATCATTAGTACATTAATTTATTTAAAATATCACAATTTCAATATTTATCACAATTTCATTGATTCAGATCTGCTTCTTTTATACTATGAATCTCCGTTATTAGAAATACTCACAATCCAAAGAGACTTGTTCAGYGGAATATCGAGCTGTACTGACGCAGATCGGCTCCCAAGATCAAATAGACTTGTCCTGTCATTTGATTCTATTACTGTACGGCAACCTTCTACATTGGGACAATTATCAAACTTGACCCTTCCAAGGGAAACTTTGTCACTAGTGATAGTTGCACTTGAACTAAAGCTAGCATGGTTKGGTTGGTAATAGTGGATAACGATGGAGTACTTGCCAGTTTTTGGTATGGAACCAACAAGGTTGAAAGTAGACTTCAAAGAATAAATTATAACAATATTATTGGTGACAATAAAAGAAGAGTATAGTTGTATGTATCTAGTTAAGTTACTGATTTAAAAAAAACATCAAGCATGGACAAGGGAGGTTTAGTGTCAAATTGAATCTAGAGCAAAACACCAAACTGAATATGCAAAATGAAAATATGTTAATACTTCACCTCGAACACATTTGCACACTTAAACTCAGTATTGTCATACCGTGTTATATTTATAGCAACTTGCCACACAAGAGGCATTGTACAACAAGTTGCAGGAGCATAATTGCACAGACTAATTGATTGTTCAGAATTAAATTTGTGCATGTGCTCACAGAGTACTGCACTGGCTTGCCTAAAAACTAGTYAGGATAGTTGCCTTGGCAATAGCATAACAAATCACTGAGAATTTTTAACTTAGTATTCAATTATTAAAAAACGTCACTGGAAAACAATCTAACATCTTCAACAACAAAAAGAGAGCTATACTTACTGGGCCCTTGACAAACTTTAGTTTCTTTGATGGGTCTAAGATATTTGGAGGAGGTTTACTACCATCTKGTCCTGCATCAAACTGTACAGATCCTTTAGGGAATGGGTATGATGATGCAATGCATTTATTRTCCTTTGTTGTGCACAAGGGCCTGGGAACTACATAGTCTAGATTCCACTTCTCTAAAGGTATTGCAGTTACTGAATCCTACAAAGTAACAATACAGTAAATCCAGTCAAAAATGGGCTTTGTGCAACTGGGTGACTGTGCAAAAATGAGATCCGTGTTAACCATGTTATCGGCTGGCACGGGTGGTCTAGTGGTTGTGCTACTGGCCTCTCAATGCTGTGGTCCGTGGACACGCCACATTTTTGTGTCACGCAATATTATATTTACACTAGATTATGATTGACATTTTAATTGTTTTGTAACTATATGTAATCGGATACACAAGCACATGGTTGTTAACTACAAGGCTTTAAAAACTACATCTTTGTATAAAACTCTCATCAAAGAACCTCATCGATTGTACTCGTCATCATTTCTCTATTTACGCGCGCATCCATTTAATGGTCCTTCGAGCCGGATATTTCAACTGGTCCTAGTTTTTTTAATACAAGATGCCGCCGGACAGAGATCATCGAAGTACTTTGGTCCACAAGAGAGGCAATATCAAAAGAAGGTTAACTAGCCTTATCAAGAGAATTGACGCATTGGAGGCAGTCGAAGTCAAAACTCCATACGAGTACGNACTAGGCGCAAGCTAATAAATTTAGATTTAAACAATCAGGCATAACCTGTTCAGTTTAGATCACATTTTGTCTGTCTGCCTRCCTATGTGTGGTATAATGCTTTCAATGATGATGTGACTTGGTGTTCATACCCCCATGTTATCAATAATGAGAAGCGTAATTTATGTACATTGTATCTTATATGACTTTTGTAAAACTTTGTCATCTTGTAATACATGTACTTCTACCTTCCCTCTCTGTATACTACTTTAATACTTACCACAGCTACTGAAGTATCCGCACCAATAAGAAGTGTAACRACACGTCTTTCAATCTTATCAGCTTCAAAGACCTTCAGCTTTCTATTCTCATCCAGAGCAACCTGTCGGCAACCAAACTTAAAGCGACAGCTATGAAGGTAAAATGTTCCTTTCTGAACTTGTCTCCGTCGTGACCTCAAGTARATGTTCAACGTTTTGACCTGGTCTGAAGGGTGATAATACTGCATTATCAGCACATATTTCCCTGGTTTCCTTATATCAATATCCTCAGTTACACGTGTCTGTAAATCAAATAATACAATTAGCTCCCTGACTAATTGCTATAGACCTAATCAGCTAACACATTGACAAATTGTCTCTAAMTAGCCACTATTTGTTAGTATTAAGTTTGCTTTTATTTCGTGGTTTTCATGTTTTTGCTCTAATATTTTTGTATTATTCTTTTTTTATTTATTCAAAATGAAACCTCATCACCTAAAGTGAGTAAACTGTTCAATATTTGGGATCATGAAGTTAAATTTAATTGAATTACAAACCTGTGTTCTATCAAGATATGCCATTTCTTTGAAAGCAAGTTGTTCTAAWACTCTTGCATCATCAAACACATGAGTCTGCTGTCTACCAAACTGTCGAGTGATGATATATCCCTTTTCCAGTTCGACSGTCACAAARTCAGGCCTAATAGTGTTTAGGTATGAATACTGTGTGCATAGTTGACTTTGATCATCCACTACACAAGGGTTATTGACCTTGCGTTGAAGGATACTGGCCTGGTAGTACTGTTGSGGCACCACTGATATATAATCCTGAAAATGTTTGTAAATTTAGAAAGACAGTATCAAATTAGTAAACTAATATTTTGTGTAAAAATGATGTTTACACAAGGGAGACTTTTAGATTATAAAAAAAATTACAGCAATTGGATAAGATGTATAGATGGTTGTTTGATAGAGTTTAAAGATCCCTGGTGCAAATCCTGTCTAATATCCTATCCCTACTTAGAATCTTACATTAACAATGTGATYCTGTGTAAGRTCCTATTCCTATTCAGGATCCTCCTCAGGATCCAAGTTAGGATCCTGTTCCTACATAGGATYCTATCCTAAATAAGATCCTACAGGATCCTGTCTAGGATTTGCAACAGGGTGTTGAGACTTACTCAACGTATGAATGTTCCTTTTGTTTTGTTTTTCTTTGTTCTGTTCCTTAGCAGTTAACATGYCAGCTCACTCATAAGTTATTATTTATYAYTTCWTCATTTATTTTCGGTTTGTAATTTCRTCATCAATATGAYTAAGCTATATTTGTATCGTACAGGAATTTACCAKCATTAAAATTGTCTGTKTCAAATAGTTTGRCTGCACTCTACACAGGGATTATAAACAGATTAAATAACTTACCAAAAGAAGCTTTGATGGTGGAGCTGTAAAAGTCAAATCCCATGTTCCTTGTGTCAGCATAAACTGTGTGGAAACGCCATTTACTGCAGCAACAGCATACCCATCAGTAAAAGTAGAACCAACTTGAGTTGAAGTGAATGTCACTGGGCTACTTTGCTTAGAACCTTGGCCACGCGGACTGAAAACAATTTGGCCGTCCACAGCGTCTTTTTGGTTGAGGACATACTTGAAGATGACATGATAGCGTCCTGTTTTGGGGACTTCAAGAGTGACTGTGATTGTTTTCTATTGATTGAAAATATGAAACTTTAATGATAAAAAAATTAAAACTCTACAAACTTAATGACCAGATTCAATGTCTTTCTCTGCCAAAACTGAACAGACTTCCAAACATTCACAGGTCAAGTGAGGAAGGAGTTCAAACACAGTTTGGTTAACGTCAGAGTTTTAATCACACAATAATACCAATTCATGACACTTATAATATCCTATAAGAGTTATAGCAAATTTACTATACAGGAATCCAGTACCAACCTGTAAATCTGTGAAGCCAACATAACCTTTCCACGAGTATCCAGGAAACTCTTTGTCATCAAAACCAAACCTAACAGGTTTACAATCGATACTTTCATCTCCTTGACTTGATGGATCAGACTGAAATTTTCCTGGAACATCTCTTCCTGATATACCATTGGGAGTTGATGGAACACAGCCATCTTCTACTTCAGCCTTGATCTGGTGTAGATCTGGGAAGTAGTGATTGCGAACTGGYCTGAAGACAAGAAACTTTGTTGTTAGTGTTGATGGGGTTCTCTTGATACTTTACTTACTGAAAGCATAGTGCAGTCAGTACTTTTGATTAGCATACTACTCTTTCAAAACAGGTGATCACAGGATTAACAAACAGAGATTGAAGCACAATCAAAAGGAACTGTGTAATTCCCTATCCTTAGTTTATTAGCAGTTATTGAATTTATTGTTTAAAGAATTAACAATGAATATATCATTAGCAGATATGCTAGGATTTAATTACAACCAGGGATAGATCCAGCAATTTTCAAAGTGGGGATCGAAAAGCAGGGYGTGKMCCCTTTTRTTARACCCCCTAAATCTGCCCCTGACAACAATCACTTKGAATAKATTGTTTTWATGGTGTATATAACAATTTTCTTTGAATGCTACAAGTATATGAAGTCATGTACAGTCRAAAGAAAAAAACAYGACTTACCTGCTACAATCGAGCCCCTCAACATTTGGTCTACACTTGCACTGTCCAGTCTTGGTATCACAGACTTGATCAATTGACCCACCGACATCACAGTTACAACCTGCAAACAAATCATTTGCATGTACTTATCTTGACACTGACTGAAGTACAAATCCTTAAAATTCTTGGAGAAAAAATGAGATAAAATATTTGTTTGATGCACATCTGCCTATCCATATCAATGAAGTTTGAGTACTAACTTTTGGATTTTCTAATAATCAGTATATGTCTAGGAAAATATGAACATTATAAGGTAATAATCATGGATATGTAAATACTATAATCATTAATCACCTATGCATCCGAATTCTCTTTTTTCTTCCAATCCAAAGTATCCTACTTTACACGTATCGCATCTGCTGCCTGTCACATGTTGTTTRCAGGTACACTCTCCTGTACGTTCATCACAATTAGCCAGTCCTGATGCAACTCCWGCCCGGTCACAGAAACAGCTATCACATCCCTTGGGGTTATCAGCTCTCAGATTGTAATAGCCAATCTTACATTCTGTACACTCTAATCCTTGTACATTGTCTTTGCAATCACACTGGCCCTAAAAATAATAACTACAATTAATAATGTTTTCTATTAGAGCGGATTTCGTATGAGTGGGAAACGGACGGTACTGTACTGTGACTGTAATCGTACTGTAACCAAATTCTAGTGCCCCATTGGTTCACCAAAATTGTGCAGGCCAGGTCCGGTAACTGTGCGGTAACCGTGCGGTAACGGTGTCCCACTCATACGAAAWCCGCTCTATGTTTGTGTACTTTTATTAAAGCAATGATGGGAACTTGTGGTAAACTAGTGTGAGCTGCATCGGTGTTTCTAAGGAAACAGTTGTGAAATAAGATAAATTTTACACCATAAAAAGTAGGTGAGGACTTAACTTAACTCATATGCATGTGAAACACAGAGAAAGATGGAGAGCAAAAGCAAGCTTTATCATTTTTGTCTCAAGTTTTGCCATCTCCCGTCATGTGTATGTCAGGGRATAAAGATGCAGGAAGAGCTCTTAGAGGTGTGAGCGCTCAACACTTTCTTGCATCTACACATGTGGACAACCTTGCTCTGAGCATTTAGTTTACTTAGTGCTACATGATTAAGCACTCTCTGTACCTATTAGAAATGTTCCTATTTCATAATACCAAAAGCATTTATTTATTTTAGCTATTAACTTATTACTTACATTGTTAGARTACGAACAATCTCCAAGACGACGACCAGGAATAGGTTTAATTCCAGCAGGATTGCACTGGCAAGCTTTGCAGTCAGGGAATCCATAAAATCCAGACCTACAYTGGTTACAGTTTTGTCCTCTAAAACTGCCTCTACAAGTACACTGTCCAGTYTTTAAATCACAAAATTCATGTCTAGACCCACGGTCATCACAACCACACTTAATACACCTTGGGTAGTCATAGAAACCATAGCGGCACTGGTCACATTTCTCACCAATGTAGTTTTGCTTGCATTTACACACACCWTTTTCATCACAAGCTGATGAAACAGAACCTTGAGGCGAGCAACCACAGCCTGAAAAAGWAATTAATACCAATGGTCCATAGTAAATACTAAAGACCTAATAAGAGTAAATTTTGACAAAGCCATAAACTTCTGCTTGCTTTAAAAATTTCCAACATTTGAATTATATAATCATTGACAAGCCCAAGCACAAAAAAACTCAGCTGAAGCACTTGAAAACCTGAGAAGAAAATTACTACATGTATAYAAACTTGTMAAYGAAAATAAGAGGGSAACTTACTTCTGCATCCTGGRTAYCCATAGTATCCAACATTGCACTTATCACAATTTTCRCCAGAAAAGTTATCCAGGCAGATACACTTTCCCAACAAAGGATCACATATTCTTGGTCCTGTGCCATCCCAATCACAGTTGCAGGCTAGTGATAAGAAAGGAAAGGAAATAAAAGAATAAACAAAGAGATAAATGACATAAAAAATAACATAATATTTAATCAAAAAAATGAAGAGATGTTTGATTAAATTGTCATTATTATACTTTTAAAAAAGCATGCATTTGATTAACTTACGTTTACACTGCGGATAGCTATAGAACCCTCGGTCACACTGGTTGCATTGTCTTCCTACATAAGGTCGTCGACAGCGGCATTGTCCATTGCCAGGATTGCACACATTATCAAAAGCGCCCAGAGTATCACAGTTGCAACCTAAAGCAAAATATAATTATAATATACATGTACATGTAAGCAAGTGTTTAAGGGCCCTGGTAATATAAATCCCTATGAATACACCTATTTCAAAAAACGTTGTCGTCGCCAGGACTCAGTCAACAGTCTTGAGCCTGCAAAGAATCTCGGGATTGCCATATATAATTGTGTGTTCAATTTCAGTTATTCAAAATACTCTGATTTAGAGTTCAACATATTCTTTTGTTTCATTGATAGCCCAAGATAACGCATGGAATTTGAAAAGAAAGACAATAGAATTGATTTGAAAT